GAACACTAACACTTATTTGTGTTCTGCATTTATGGTCCTGTGATAGGGATTACTTGCATCCAATTATTTCTTTTACTACTTTGCTATAATTCTCTTCTCCTCTCCCCTCCCCACCTGTACTTTCCCCTCTCCTCTCCTTTGATTAAAGCTAAAGCAATTATCAAGGGGGCCATTTCCCTTCATCATTTGTCTTATGCTAGCTCTAGTTAAAAGCTAAATCTAGAACCTTTCTAGCAGAAACTTTATCCTTGACTCAAACTGATGACATCAAAATTAGCTAAGAAACATGGTTGACTTATTCTATTCTTTGAGATCGTAAGAGAAGAAAATTTCATAGCATTTTCTGGTAGCTTGTTACTTTACCTACTGAATAAATGAATTCAGCATTTCCTATTGCTACATATTCCAAACTCTCAGAATATTTCTTGATCACTTTGAGTTAAGACTGAAGAACACTATTTTTAATGGTGATAAAAGAAAAGAGCACCTGGATACCAGGCAGCCCCATTGCAATATTTCATACTTAGATGCTATTGTAGCTTTAAACTACAAGTTCCTGAGTAAGGAAAACAGTAAGAAAAAGGGACACATTCATCCTTTGTGGATGCCCACTTCACCATCTGCTTACCCATCTAAAATGATTTGGTGCTTGAACATTAATTTATTTTTTTTCTAGAAGCTTTTCCAATTTGGCCAGCTCTCTTGGTGCATAAGGTTTTAGTAAAAACATAATCAGGAGTGTGACAGGTTGGCTAATAAATCTTTTCAAAAATTGCTTAAGAATTATATACTTGTCATAGCTAATTAGGGCAAAGATTAAAAACAAAACCTTTTTTTCAGCATTGCTGTCATAAAAATGAGTTTAACTTTCATATTTGTGTAAATTATTCATGTATATGTATATATGTATGTGTGTATGTATCTCTATCTCTATCTCTATCTCTATCTCTATCTCTATCTCTATCTCTATCTCTATCTCTATCTCTATCTCTATCTCTATCTCTATCTCTATCTATCTATCTATCATCTATCTATCTATCTATCTATCTATCTATCTATCTATCTATCTATCTATCTATCTATCTATCTTCAGTTTCTGCTCTGTTCTTCAGTCTTGGATAACCATTTGCCCATTGGACATTTCAAACTAGATGTCCTAGAGCAGGGGTGAGGAACCTGCAGCTCCCAGGCCACACGTGGCCTTCTAAGTCCTTAGATTTGGCCTTTAGACTGAGTCCAAGTTTTACAGAACAAACCTTAGAATAAGCCAAGTATGGTGGCTACTAAAGTACTTATATAATCAGAACCTGAAAACAGGACTGGTTTTTCATGTCAGAGTTTCCGCATGTAATGCTGCTTATGTGATGTTCCTGGGCTTTGGTGTAGATGGCCTCTCTCAGGTCCTTTGGATGGATTGACTGTTCCTTGGGGATCCTTCTAAATCTACAATATCAGTTTCTAATTATACTGGCCAGACTATATTTTTTAGCATAAAATTCATGAAGAAGATAAGAAATATCAATCTGAAATGATACCCTAGGACTATAGGAATAAAAGTTGGTCATGTCAAAGAAAAGCACCTGATTAATGATATAAATAGGAGCTGTGATTACGACTAAATATTTTTGGGTGCAGTTTTAAGATTCTTTCCCCTTGTAAGGGATGGGAGAGAATCCATATATTTTAGTAATTCTTAATCTTTGTTTTTTTTAAATGTCATGGACACCTTTTGGTGGCCTGTTGAAACCTGTGGACTTCTGCTCAAAAATAATATTTTTAAAAGCATAAAATAAAATACATAGGATTATAAATGAAATAGATTATAAAATAGATTATATTGTAGTATATTTAGTTGTAGTGGTGGTAGTAATAGTAGTAGTAGTAGTAGTAGTAGTAGTAGTAGTAGTAGTAGTAGTAGTAGCAGTAGTAGTAGTGGTAGTAGGAATAGTAATAGTAGGAATAGGAGTAGTAGCAGCAGCAGCAGTAGCAATAGTAGTAAGCTCATGGATCCCAGGTTAAGAGCACCTCATCTAGTCCAGACCTTTCCTTTATTTGGATTCATGAGCTGGGAGAGAAAAAAAGACCTGGATTTGGGGATTTATAGAAAATTGGTACTCAGGAAAATAGTACGAACAAGAGTTTAATATTACCATGGAGTAGCAAGTAGGAAAACAAACAAACAAATATATACACCCAATATGGAAATATAGATAGATAGAAGTTTGTCCCCATAGATGCAAGAAACAAGGGAGATGGCCAGTTAGGTGGTGTAGTGGATAGACCACTGGCCCTGAAGTCAGGAGGACTTGAGTTGAAATACGACCTCAGACCAAACACTTGACATTTACTAGCTGTGTGACCCTGGGCAAGTCACTTAACCCCAACTGTCTAAAAAAAAAAGAAAAAAGAAATAAGGGAGATGGTGTTGTGTCAGGGAGACATGCATAAAGTTTGGGTTCAGGTAGAAAAGTTTATATCTTAAAAATGGTTTTAGTATGGAATAGATAATCAATGCTATATGTGGGATGTGGTATTCCAAATTAGACTCAGATGTGGTGGAGAAGTTTTCAGGGTCACTTATGGATGCTGGGTTTGGGTAGTGAAAGTTTCTTTATTAGGATCAGAAACTAGATGAGGTGGAATTGGCTAACTGAGACATAAGAAGAAGGGTGACTTAGGTTGCTTCAGATGGCCAGGAATTATATCACTCAGAAGTGCAAGTATTAACTGTTTCATACAGGGTTAACTAACAGGTGAATACAATAGAAAAGTACAAAAACTATCTTTCTTTGCTTATATGCTTTATGGACACTGGGACCACTTAGCCTACATGATTCCTGTCATATCAGAGTCCGTCTATAACTATAATATCAAATAACATAAAAAAATACAATTATCATACCCCTCATTTTACAGATGAGGAAACTGAGGATCAGGGATCTTAAATGTACTGTTCAAGATCACATAGCTGATAAGTAGAATATCTGGAATATGAAATCCAGAACTCTTTCTACTATTCCATGCTGTTTCTCTATGAATATGAATTAATGTAGTGTTAAGCTAATAATAGGAGGGAATAATCCACTTGAGTGTCTATTCACACCCTACCTACATTGCTGACTTTAATATTGGGTAGTGTCTTTTAAAAAAAGACCGATAAATTTTCCAGGCTTCATTTCTGAGTAGATGAAATTTCTCTTTTATACCAGCCTATTTCCCTCTTCCGTTTTATAATATTCCTCTCACAGATGCCCACACCTTTACACTACTCTCTGGATGCCATCTTCCCCAGGATTCTTAAACACCTCAAAATGAGCTCTTATCTCTGTTTCTTCCTATCCTCCATCAAAACCTACATTCTTTATGCCTGATCTCACCCAAGTATTAGAAAGCTTTCTGATTAAACAGATTCATAAGAAGGTGAGCTAAGGTGAATTATTTAACTCCCACAAGAGAATTTTTCACTTTGTAAGAAATTGCTGAAAACAAATAGATCTTAGACTGCATGCATTTCGAGAACCAGGAAGTGAAGAATTTCAACTCTTGTGGGATATCCTATCTATCTATTATCTGTTATTTTTCTGTCTAGTCATCTATAATCTATCTTTCTATTATCTATGTCATCTATTTGTCATTATGTTCTATGCATTCCTCAAAACACAGCATATTAGTGATTTGCTCGCTCTATCGTCACACAACTCTCAACTCCAACTCTTCCAGAATTAGAGCAAAGCATTAGACTAACTATGAAGAGAAACAAAGGGAAAAAAAGGTATATCATGCCCTCCACTCACCTGAGCAAGTGGTAGATCTTGAATCACTCCTACCCATGTCTCCTGAGATATCTACCTTACTATTCATAACAGCAAGCAGTAACTAGAATGTTTTGTTATAAATTTTGAATTCGATAGCATTTCTAGCTGTGTGTGATTTTTAAAAAAAGTAGTGGAAAGAGCCCTTTGGATTTGGAGAAAACGACTGAGTTTGGAATCCTGGCTGTGCCACTTTTTACTTGTGTGAATGTAATTTTCCTCATTTGTAAAAAGGAGGCAAAGGGATTATATGGAATAGAGGTAAGATCCCTGGAGTGAAAGTCAGAGGATCCTGGCTCTACTACTTAGGATCATAGACCTCAAGTTGGAAGTGATTTCTGAGACCCTGTGGTTCAATTCTCTCATTTTAAGAAAAAGGAGGCTGCAAGTGGTTAAGTGATTTGTCCAAGAGACAGAAGACATCAGAGACAGGATTCAAACCTAGGTGTTCTAATTCCAGAATAATTGATCTTTCCATTGCTACATGTGGGACCTTGGACCTATCAATTATCCTCTGTAGGGGTCAATTTCTTCAAATGTAAAATGGGGAGGGAGGTTGGATTCAGTGGTGTAGTGACAACAGTTTTGATTTAGGAGTCAGAAGGTCTGGTTTGAAATATGAGTTCTTTTACTTGATACCTGATTGACCTTGGGCAAGTTAGTCCCATTTTCTTGGTCTCAGTTTCCTCATATGTTAAATGAAGATATTGGACTAGGTGACCTCTAAGGTCCCTTTCATGATCAAGTGACAAGATGTTGTCTAAGCTCCCTCTCAACTCTAAAATCCTATGTCTTGGCTAAATTTGCATTGAGAGGAAGCATGGCATAATGGATTAAAGGCTGCACTTAAGATCCAAAAGACTTACATTCAAATCCTTCCACACTCCCTTTGTGACCATGGGCAAGTCACAATTTCTCTCATTCTCATTTTTTTACTGTGTAAAATAAGGGAATTGGATTAAATATTTCTATAGTCCCTTTTAGCTTTCAATCTGCAATCTTGCTAAATATACAGGTTGCCTCTGAGCTCTCACTCTATGATTCTGTCAAATACAACAGTTGTTTCTGGCTTATTGGGATTTTATATTTTATACAGTTCATTTTTTGTAGATAAAACCTACCCCATGAAAGTACAGGAATTCTCAATGCCCTCCCATGTCCTAATGGAATGCATTTACCTCTTTTCAGTATACTTCTGCTCTGACTTATGATGCTGTCCAGGTGATGACTGAAGCTTTCCGTAACCTACGTAAGCAAAGGATTGAAATCTCCAGACGAGGAAATGCTGGAGACTGTCTTGCAAACCCTGCTGTGCCCTGGGGACAAGGAGTAGAGATAGAAAGGGCACTAAAACAGGTGAGTTTTATGTGACAATGAATGAAGATGTGCAAGAATATTTTTCTCCAGAATTTCTTCTGCATGTTGGACTTCTATCACATGCTCTTTTTTCCCCAAGCAGGAAGCTGTGTCTTACCTATGGAAAGGAGAGTTCAAAAGTGAAGGAAAATCTTTGAAATTTTTTTTTCTTTACCTGGAAACACATAAACAGTAATTAGGGCACATTATGTGTGTGAGGCAAATCTACATGTGTTTCTTTTCCCTTTTCCTCATGTAGGTTCAAGTGGAAGGTCTTTCAGGAAATATAAAGTTTGACCAGAATGGAAAAAGAATAAATTATACAATTAACATCATGGAGCTCAAAACTAATGGGCCTCGGAAGGTAAATTACTTAGTGCCTTTAAAGGCTGTCTTCTGCTATGTGATATGGGAAGGTAGGTGATTCAGAACCAAGAGGTTTTGCAAATATTTTAACAGTCTTTTAATATATAATGCACACATTTTAGTAGTCTTTAAAAGTACAGAGATATTTTCAATGTTTATTCCCAAACATAAGCCCAGCAACTCCTGGTAAGTGCTGTGAACCTCTAATTTACTTTTTAAGAAGTGCAAATTGAATTGTGATACTTTTCTATTCTGACCAAGACTGCAAAGAAATTAAATATGAGAGACTAAAACTATAATGATCATGTCCTGACTACTAATTTCTAGGTCTTGAATGTTATTTCAAAGAGCAATCAATGTAAGCAAACATCCAAATACTGCATTTCTTAGTCTCTCTGTGCACTGTATAGATGAAAATGCAATTTTTTTCCTAAATTTTTATTTATATTTCCAGATGTTCCCCCTCCAAAAAATATACTTGGGTGTTTCTGCATATGTATGTGTGTGAAAATAAGATGAACAACACAACTTTACAAAAATCTATGACCACATGTTATTCTCTTCATTTTTGTTTCCTCTCCATTTCTATTAAGGTTATGTGTATAAAGAATGCATTTCTGCATTAACAAAGCTTAGTTAATATCTGAAAAGGTTAGGGGTAGGAAGAATGAGTTGAATGTACTGAAATGCTTTGTTATCAGAAAGGTCATTCATCAGTATGCCTACCTCCTGTAACCTTTTTCAGATTGGATACTGGAGTGAAATGGACAAAATGGTGGTGACACTTACTGAAATCCCTTCAGGGAATGACACCTCTGGATTAGAGAATAAGACTGTTGTTGTCACCACAATCTTGGTAATTATTTACATCCTTTATTTGACATTGTGGTTGTTTGGTTTTCCCTTTTCCTTGTGGATAGAACATTGTTGCTTATACTTCTATTATTTAGTTCTTGTTAACAATAGTAAATAGCACATGATCATCATCATCAACATCAAAAACAATTATCAAATTCTGTTTGTGTGCAAAGCTGAGAAGGCAAACGTATCCCTCTGCAGCTGGATGTCACTGCCCTTTAGAAGCTTGAAATCTAGTTGGGAAGAAAAGATATCTACATGTGAAAAAAAATCAGAGACAATCAGAATGTATATGATGAAGTGACCTAGGAACCCCTTACAAATATTATATACATACACTCATGCATACATATACATATACCTACATATACACACATATATTAACAACACCTGTTGTTTATACAGCCCTTTACAATTTACAAATTGTATATGTATTTGTATATTTGATGCTCACAAAAACATGAGAGATGGTGGTGTGATTATTAATATGCCTGTTTTATAGTTTTTAGAAAATTGAGTAGTCATGCAGTCAGCAATAGTGGAGTCTTCTGACTCCAAATGTAGTGCATTTTGTCTTTTATTTTGTGCAGTAGAAATAAGAGATGGAAGACATGACAGCCAGCATGATATGGTGAAGTGGGTTTGTTGTTATTTCATCTTGTCACAGTCTTCATGACCTCATTTAAGATTTCTTGGCAAAGATACTGGAATTTCCTTTGCTAGCTTATTGTACAGATGAGGAAACTGAGGCAAACAAGGTTAAGTGACTTGCGTAGGGTCACACAGCTTGGAAGTGTCTGAGGCCACATTTGAATTCAAGTCTTCTTGACTCCAGGAAGACTCTGGTTCAGATTCTATGTTTGACATCAATTAATCACTCTGGGCTTTGATTTTCTTATCAGTAAAATGAGAAGATGGAACACTGTTCAAAGTTCCTTCCAGTTCTCAATTTATGATCCTAGAACATGTCTTTTGGCTGTAATTATTATGCAAGATATAAAATTTGACTGATCTTTTTTGCTCAAGAATATAGATAGGTGGATGCAGATATTGGCTTTTCTGGAAAACCCTCTCATTTTCTGTTTTTAGAATAATCATGTATCCAAACAGAATCCTTAATTTCTTTATTTATTAAAAGAACCTAATTTCTGACAACCTTATGCTATGTATTTCTAGGGAGTTATATATTTAGTCCACACTCTATAGCCCAGAGTGAAATGGGAATTAACCTTATCTTTTGTTCCTTTTTGGGAAGCTAATAAGTGTTCCTGATGTCCAATAAGGACAATATTTCATTCTGTTTTCAGCAAGTGTCCCTATTACGTTTTTTTTAGGTGATGTGTGTTCTAATTTAAAAATATAGCCTTTAGTCTGTTTCTGCTATGCAACAAAACCAATTTCCTTCAGATATTGAGCAAAATAATTATTAACTCTGCTTTTTCTGTCTCTGTCATAACATTAAGCACTTCACTATTTCTTCTTTTGATAAAAGTTAAAAATGGGACAAAAACTAAATCATTTTACAAATCCATCCCTTGAGGCCTCTTTTGGTAGTTGAATAAAGGGCTTGGGGGGAAGAGAGAAAAAGACAGGGTTTTATTTGGCATCAGGTTCAACTGACCCATATCATAGCTATGACAACAACAGCTACAATGGGTAGGTAATGTTTGTATCATGCTTTAAGTGATAGAGAGTGCCACTCCTATGCTACTTCATTTGATCTATGGTAAGCACTTAATTAATGCTTGTGGATTGATTTCATTCAAACAACACCTTCTCTGCTAATTTTACCATAATATTGAGCTCAGGAGTGAATGCATACTCAAACACAGCAATAAATGACAGTAAAGCATGTTAAAGTGAATTTTATCTATGTGCACTTATACTAGCATAAAATGACAGAATGTTCCATAGGTTAAGGGAGCAGGAGAGGGTATCCCATAAAACTAATAGAACATAGGTTGGAGATGAATAATTCTCTACACATGGGTAAGCAGTATGCTATAGTAGACAGAATACTGAATTTAGAGTCAGGAGAACCTGAGATCTGATTCTGTATGATGATGACTAGCTATGTGATCATGGGCAAGTCATTTAACCTTTATGAATTTTAGTTTCATCATTGGTAAATAACAATGATATTCCTAAATTCTCCTACACAGGGATGTTGTTGAGCCCAAATAAGATTTTGTATGTAAAGCCCTTTTCTGTAAGGCTTTAAAATTCATAGAGTTTAAATGAATGCCTGCTATTATGATGATGATTGTAAAATTGTTCAGTCTAAAAATACAAATAAAGTAATAAAAGATTTCCAAGTTAATAGATAGGGAATCCTTGTAACATTATTTTTAAAAAAATTAGAAATTAAGCTGCTTAAAATGTGGGGCTAATATGAAGTAACCATACTGTCCCTGCAGAAATCTCAAGGCTGTCACAGTAATAGGAAGACTACTGTATTGGACTGAACAGAGGTCTGACTCAGTATAGCATTTCTTGTTTTGTTTTTAAATACTTATTCTATAATAAAGTAACTCACTTTACTTCTCTTTTCATTACTTTGTCTGTAAATTGATCAAATTGGATTAGAAGATTTTTAAGTCTTTTTACCTTGAGCATTTTATAATTTTAAGTGGAGGAGCAGAAGTTTTTATTTTTTTCCACTCCATCTATTGACCTTTAGTTACTGATGATGATATAGATTACTTCTGGCTCACATGTTATTCTTTTCCTAAGAGAGGAATCAGAGATAGGATGAAAACACAGGGAAAAAGAAAAAGGAAAGGTATTGGAAAACTTGTTTAGCTAGAAACTACATATTTACGGATGGGAGAAGAGAATGTATGTGTGACATCTATTCTATTTTTCATATTTACAATGATCTTAATAAGAGTTACAGTAGTTATTTTGGGGGTGAGATAAAAGATATTTTCTTGGAACATTTTGTATACACACATATTTGTGTGTATATACATATATATGTATGTATGTATGTGTATATATATATGTATATGTGTATATATACATATACATATATGTATATATATGTGTATGTGTATAGCCTTATATGACTTATGACTACATCATATCTTCTTATGAATAATTCTAAAATGTTAAGTTGATTTAACAAAGAAGCAAATCAGTTACCCATAAGAGCTTTGGGAGTTACTTAGGTATAATTTAAAGTATATGATGAACACAGTTGCTTTCAGTCAGTTGAAGCATAGTTTTTCTAAACAGGAATCCCCGTATGTCATGATGAAGAAAAATCATGAAATGTTAGAAGGCAATGAGCGATATGAAGGCTACTGTGTGGATTTGGCTGCAGAGATTGCCAAACATTGTGGATTCAAATACAAGTTGACCATTGTTGGGGATGGCAAGTATGGGGCCAGGGACGCAGATACAAAAATTTGGAACGGGATGGTTGGAGAGCTTGTTTATGGGGTAAGAACATATTGTATTTTTTTTTCCACTTTAATTAAAATGATTAAATACTATTGCTGATGTATTTTCCCTCCAAAAGCCCATATATCTGGATTCTTATAACGTCACTGGGAGTAAACAAGCTCATATTCATGTGAAATAAACATTTCAAAGCTTAGAAAATTCAACCAGAATTTAAAAAGCATATAAACTGAAAGATGGATTGTAATCTCTGTTTCCTTTCCTTTTCAGCAGATGGCCATATCCTTTGTTCTAATTCTGGAAAGGGCATGTCAGAGAAATAGAGATTCAGAATAAAGATATGCTTACCATAGTCAAGCCAGATGAGTGTATTGCGTATATTGAAAAAGCAGGGGTATTTGGGGAGTAAATCACTACTCTATTTCCCCTTTGTCAGGACTCCACCAGTAAGATGATCACTGGCATTTCCTTGCTAATCTAGTCTACATCTCCAATTGAAGGGATGGGACCATCAGTCCTTACTAAGTATGGCTCTCATTATTCTGATCTTCTTTTGTTTCCCTTACAGAAAGCCGATATTGCAATTGCTCCATTAACTATTACATTGGTGAGAGAAGAGGTGATTGACTTTTCTAAGCCCTTCATGAGCCTTGGGATCTCAATTATGATCAAGAAGCCTCAGAAGTCCAAACCAGGAGTGTTTTCATTTCTCGATCCCTTAGCCTATGAAATCTGGATGTGCATTGTCTTTGCCTACATTGGGGTCAGTGTAGTTTTATTCCTGGTCAGCAGATTCAGCCCCTACGAGTGGCACACTGAGGAGTTTGAAGATGGACGAGAAACACAAAGTAACGAGTCAACTAATGAATTTGGAATATTTAATAGTCTCTGGTTTTCCCTGGGTGCCTTTATGCAGCAAGGATGCGATATTTCGCCAAGGTTGGTTACATGCCCATTTCAACTTTGTGCATTTTAGGTCTCAAAAAGATGTTCATGGTACCTATAGATTGACTCTAAAGATGAAACCAAATGCCAACTTCTTGTCCAAGCAGTTTTAAACCCTGGAAGGGCAGGTTGTTGGTCATGGGCGGTGAAATATTTGATCAATACTCAACAAGTGTTGAACATGTATTTCTCTGGTGAATTTGTAAGTACCATGGAGAGGCTATAAAATGCATAAGGTCTCTGTCATTCCATACCTTCTTGGAGGGGTACCGTGTTTTTGCTGCATATTCCTATTTTACAGTTGTCTGTGTATATAAACCACAGAACTGTATATGGGAACAACAGGTAACTTGATTTAAGAGCTTCAGAAACAGCAGGTCACCCCTAAAAGCTATTTTGCCTATTCCTTTACCAATTCTTCACCCACAACAAACAATGAGATGAGATTGAATCATGGATGTCACTTGGCAAACTTATGGTGCTAATGAAAAAAAAGTGGTATACTATAATTTCCAAGAATCTAGGGAAATTTGCTAGGACCACAATAAGGATGATTTGTTAAAATATTGGGAAACACAAGAATGGCATAGTACGGAATCAATTCAGAAACTTGTACTCTTGATAGTATTTTTACTGAATCTGATAATATATACCTATCCAATTAAAGGAATGAAGTTACACTGTAAACAATATAAAATAAATTACCATATCGTATACTTAAATAAGCAATAGAGCAGAGCAACAATCTTCTAGCATGGAGGAATGATTCAGTATCTTTCCAGTTTTAGTTACAAGATATAGCAATCATGCAGCTGGTATACTTTTATTTTACCTTGTCCTGTCTCAATGCTTGGCTTATGAGTTAAACCACCTCCCTAAGAGAAAGGGTATGTCTTTTTTAATCATCATGTGTATATGTCTTCATCATAATGATATAATATATCCTTAATATAATGCATATTTTTTCATGATTCCTGAGACCTTAGGACTATAGTAATATCTGTGCCTTAAAATGATAAGGGTAGGAACAAGTGACTTCTTAGCTTTCTTCAAGCTCTAAATTCTTGTCCTAATATATAACAGTGGATTACATTCTAGGATAGTACATCTCAGTAATGGGTTGGGATGTAAGAGCTGAGGAGGCACCTTTGGATTATGCCAATTTGACATTATGCCTTACAGAATTAGCGATAATGGATATGGGATTTTTTTTCAAAATGTTTTTAACAGCATGATAGAAATAATATTGGGTGACAAATAGTTTCACTAGATGACCTCTGAAATGCTTTCCAATTCTAAGATTCTATGATTGTTTATCAGTAACAATGATAAAATGAAATAACTCATGAAGTAAAAGTAAAAAGGATAGGTGGATATTTCCTTAACAATAAGGCAAATTGTTCTTAATGAGGATGAAGCAAAGAGGATTGAAATCTTTGGTCCAGTATCTATATCATTTCTTATCTATATGGCTGCACCAGAATAAAGGGACTAGGAAATACTGGTTGGCCACTTTGTGCCATTAAGCTGACCTTTGGTGAATCAAACAAATTAATCACTTCATTTCCAAATATCATTCATCCAGGTTTTTAATAGAAAGAAGCAGCTTAAACTGAGGAAAAGGAAGAAAAGAAGTACCCAGTTCAGATAATAGCAATTGACTGCCCAACTGGCTTTTATGAACCTCCCTTTTATGGACACTTGATTTTAATGTTTCTTGAATGATTTAGGCCTTGGAAAAGGGTCACTGAAAAGTAATGGTTGCCTGGTCTTAAGATAGAAGGCTGGTTTTTATTTAGCTGAGTAGTCAAATCTTAGGGCTTTTATCTATAGGAAGTCCTTTCTTTCCTTGGGATTGATTTTTTTAAAAAAATAATATTCCTAGTTCATTGTTTTTCTTACCTCTTTAGGAGGCAGATTAGCTCTAAAGTATATGTGCTTGGATTTCAAAAACGTAAAGTGAAAGTGATAGAAGTATGTAAAGTAGATATGACATGATGACCAGCCATACTTTAATTTTCCAGGGCAGTGGAAAAGTGGTAAATGTATGTACAAAAGAAAAAAAAATGAAAGGAAAAAATTCATTCAGTTTCAAATAATTGAGTCAGGTGTCCTATGGCTTGATGCCTCTAAAATAGTCTGGTTGTTGAAAATACTTCTGCCTATCTTAAACCTATGAAGAACCACATTTATGAATTCCAGAGGAGATGGTTTGATTCATTTAGTTTAAGAGCATGTCTTAGTATAAGAATATCTTAAGAACTTAGAAGGAAGATAAATGAGTTACTTTATGCTCTACATCAACTAAATTTTTTAATGTTTGAGAGCTGTAAGTCTCCTTTTGCTTATTAGAAAAGCATTATGATACTTTCAGTCAATTAAAGAATTACATTTTATGTAAAGGTCCTGGTGTTAAAGCATGGCCTTTATCCTCAGGTACTAAGCCATGGTAATTATTTTGGCTCCTGCTTTTTAGTAGGGGTGGTAAGACTGCTTGTCAACAGAGCTGAAATCTTAAATATACCTGTAGAGAGAAGGGGTATGAGATGAACCCCGGCACTATGAAAGAACACAAGAAAGGAGGATAGATATCTTGGCTTGGAAGCTTGTTTGATGCTGTAGAAATGTTCACCTTTCTTTGACAAATCATCATTGTTTGGATAGTGCCTACGGTAAATGGGCATGTGAATATATACATATACTTAATATATTTACTGGTTTTTACAGAGTGGAGACTTCTTGTTACCTATCTGTGACAATGAGTGTCTTGAAAACCAAACAAACTATCTTAGGGCTCAAAATTGTTTCTTGAGAAAGTGTCTCCAAAAGCCCATTGCTGGCAATGTGAAAATAGAATTCCTATTACATAGAGTCAATGCACTGGCATATTTTCCAAGAACTCATTTGTATTTTTGTGTACTCCTGCACAACTATTGTTTCTAGTTGTGTGTGATGTAAAGATGGGGAGAAATGGTCATTGTGGGTAGGAATATTTTAAATAAGTCAAAACTTTTAACTTTCCAGTGTGACATGAGGATTCAGAGCTGTTCAGGGAATTCTTTGAGGCCGGGGAGATCAGGATGGAATGTCAATAGTAAAAGGGTGTATAAAAATGCTAATATTTGAGATGGTAAATTCTTTGTCATCTCTTTCACCAAAAGATTTCTGATGTATAATCAATTTGTGAAACAAGTAAAATGCAATATAAAATAGATATTATCTAATTTATTATTTAATGGAGCGCGCTGAAAGCTAGTCATATCTGAATGATCTATTAAATTAGCTAAATTAAACCTTTTCTCTCAGTTTAATATTAAGTTTTCATTTACCCTTTGGAAAATTGAAATATAGAAATGAAAAGAAAGAATCCCTGAAGATGGTCTGTTCTTCCTGAGTTTCCTTGCATTTTGTTTTTGTTTGTGTGTTGGTTTTTTATACTGGATTTCACTATCTTGCCCAGGCTAAAAGTGAAGCAGTTATTTACAGGCCTGATCCCAATATAGATTGGCACAGGAGTTTTGACCAGATCCATTTATGACCTGGGTGGATTTGCTTCTTTTTAGGCAGCCTGGTGGCCCCTTATTCACTATGGATTACTGTATTGGTGCTGGACTTATTGTGGACACCCAATCAAATTACTCTACTGCAACTCAGTACTTTTAAATTTGTCATTTACTGGCCTCAGTCTTCATGGTAGCAAATATTATAGTTGTGCAACACCACTCCTATAATGGCAAATATCATAGATGTTCACCACCACTATCACAGAAGTTCATTCATATATATATATATATATATACACACACACACACACACACACACAGAGCCTTTTGAAAACATATGTGTATGTACGTATACACACATGTGCATGTATATATACATATATATACATACCCATATAAACACACATACATATAAATTCCACACATATATATGTATATTTTTATGTGCTTTTAAAATATAAATTATAAATCATATGAATTAGATATGTACATGAGTATGTATATGTACATATGTACATAGATAATTTTGTATACAATTTGACCACAATACACGTGCATAAAACTATATAAGCATATGCACATTCATATTTACTCAGAATAATTATTGAATCATTCAATCAATAAGCATTTATTAAGTGGAACTAGGGGTACAAAGTGTCTGAACAAAAGAAGCCCAACGTGCAAAGAGTTTCCATTTTAATGAGAAAATTCAAAAGAAAACATGTTGTATATATGCTTATTTTATTTTTCAATTTAGTGAAAATTCCTATAATGATATTTATTTTAGAGAATAAAGACAATATTGCTTTCACATTGCTTTTACAATGCTTTCACATTTCACATTATTTCACATTGACCACTCTTCTATTTCCTCCATCAAATCACATTCTTATGTTGAGAACTAATAGAATTAATAGCTGAATAGAACTAATGGATGAACCAGAAAATGAAAAAAAAAATTAAATGACCAAACCTTCAATTTTTCCTGAAGTATTTTGAACAACTGTTTGCATCAAACCAGCATATATCACTCCAATATATATGAGAAACGAACACCCCACTGTGAGAGGCAAGTGTGATGTCTTCAAGCATTTTATAATGGGAACAGAGCCAAATATTTTTATTCCTGTAATATATTGACTATTACATGTGGGGCTATAAAGTCAAAAGAAATTACCCTGCACTCTGAGCTTTGTTTTAAGGGTTGCTAATAACCAGGTACTGTATTTGCCTTCTTAAATACAAGGTACTTGCCATATAATTAAATCTTCAGTTGTTAAGGAGCAAATAATGGTCTCTTAAAAAAAGTAACTCTTATTAAAAAAAAAAAGTAACTCTTTCCAAATTAGGGGTTTCCCAAAATTTAAAAGAAAAATCCCTTCTGTAATATAAATAGAACAACTCCTAGGACTGCCCTATCCAGCATTTTTCCTTTAGTTTTTCTATTATACTTACTTTATCTTCTCTTTCTTTATGCTTTAATCATAAAGGTAATTTACTGTGATTTCTGGCTAATATTCATTTTTTTCTTCCTCCTACCATGTATGTTACATAGTTTTTCTTCTCTTCTAAATCTCTTTCTTATAATTTACCTAATACAATCACTAAGTATTTGTAAGGGCTCTCACCAAGGGATTTGATCCAGTAGACATATGTTCTCCATAGGTTTGTCTACAAAGGGAGTTAAAGAGTGATATTTTGAAGAATCTACCCCTGTTTTCTTGCCCTTTCTTGGCTCTTTTAAGGGCCTTGAACTGAAAAAAAATTAAAAAAAGATTCAACTGAGAGTGGCTTAATTGTTTGAAAAAGCATAGTTCCTAAAACAGTGACAAGAGTTGCTATATCAGTGACCAAGGGATAACACATACCTTAAATACATTCAAATTCCTATCTAATTTTTTTCACTCATTTTTTGCAACACACTGCAATCTTTGCATAAGCCTTCTTCTAACAGAAATGATTTCAAAGTTCATTAGGAATTTGAAAAGCCTTATTACATTATTAAGGACTGATTTATCACCAAAGCAGTTTTGGTTTTTATTGTGTTTTAAAATGATTTTTCTTTTCTGGCAAACTCTTGCATATGTCCAGTCTGTTTTTCTTTGCATTTTCTATTTTCTTTTTTCTTAAGCATGAAGTGAAAAAAAAAAAAGTTCAGAGCCACTTATCTGTTGAATTAAAGCATCAGATACTTCATATGAATTACATTTTTTTTCTTAATCATTTGTTTTTAATGACAAGTTACCTTCATTTCCTCTCTCGAATTGTTTTTGGTGGCTATATTTCATGAAGTGCTTTGGAGTTTGGTAGTTGGGAACATTCTTCTAGCAGGGTACTCTTTGGTCAAATGGTACTTTTCTCAGTTAAGGTGAAAGGCTGCTTCACTGATTGATTCTATTCTTTCCCTAGCTGTCTCCAAAAATCAAGGCAGGTTGAAGCCACAAGAGCTTGTGTATCTGTTTGTATGTATGTTAACTGATTTTATTTTTTAGTTTTGATCTGAATTTTCCTATCTCTGTGACTCTGCCATCCATTTTTATTTGAATTGTGCAGACAGTTGGATGAGAAAAATATCAACATTTGGTGCATTAATTTCACAAAGTATTCGAAAGCCTTCTTTTCAGGACCTTACAACACTGAAGAATTGGGCACTATCACCTTGCAAAGCAAATTGATGTTTGAAGTCTGGACATTTGCCATTCTTAGAAAAGCACATTGAGCTATTTACCTCCCATCCTTCAATGCCTTATAATTTCTGGTTTCATTAACAGCAGAGATACAAAAAAAAAAAGAATGCTCTGACATAGCCTCTGATATTATAGTTCAGTATTTGCATAAAACTGATAACTTGTCTTCTTCTTAGAACATTCATTTCAGTTTTACAAATCCATTTCATGCTTGTTATTAGATCCCTGTCTGGGCGCATTGTTGGAGGTGTGTGGTGGTTCTTTACCCTCATCATAATCTCATCCTACACGGCTAATTTAGCTGCCTTCCTGACCGTAGAGAGGATGGTGTCTCCCATTGAAAGTGCTGAGGATCTTTCTAAGCAAACAGAAATTGCTTATGGAACATTAGACTCTGGCTCCACAAAAGAGTTTTTTAGGGTAAGATATTATTTTATAGCTCTTTATGTTTGTTTTGAATTCTTAATTTTCTTAATCTCTTGTATTTTCCCTCTTTTTTCATCTATTAAAAGGTTGTTGTAAGAAGGTAATTGGTAACAACTGTACTACAAATATATAGATATGCACCACATTTGAAGTTGCCTGGGGAATTCTCTTCATGTTGGCTTGAACTTTACTGTCTTATGTCTAGAACATAATTGAAATTTGCTTAAATTGGGGTATTTTCTTAATTATCTCTTTATAAAATGCTATTTCCTCTTGAAATAAGTGTCACAGTCTTTGGGTTGGCCCTACAGTTATAAGGAATGGCCTTCGAAGGTAGTATTTAAAGTTGAGAAAACTGTTCTAATTAATGATGGTGGATAGTCTTGTGTCTGAGTCAAATGTTAACTCCATGATAATATTGAGCTTACTATTCTAGCATTCCAACAGAAAAATTATAATGGTCTTAAAGTACTAGATCCAAAATGGATAGTAGAGTTATAATCTATCAAACATGTATGGTATCAGAAGAATATTTTCATTTCTGCTTCTGTATGAATATGCGCTAGGGAACTAATGCTTCATATGTAGCTTGCTGTAACTAATTTTGTCATATGAGTTCTTTCCCTTAAAGTCAAGAGGAGACTGATTAATCTATCTCTTAAGCTTAACTCTAAACTGAGACTGAATCAATACATGAAATCCAGGCCACATTTGTATTATGTCTAAGCCTAGGTCATGTTAGTTCTCTGTTAAGTTCAGGAAAAAATTTGGTCAGTCCTAAAGATAGCAGAATGGAGTCTAGTTAAAGTCATGTCTAGTGCATGTCTGATGCACCATTGCCTACAGCTCTCTATTAGTCTTCGCTTCAAATATTTGTTGTTAGAAAACTTTCATAATAGGTTCAGAGAAGGATAGAAGGTTAAGATTCTCAACATTTTATTCTCCATGTATCTAAAGCATACACAGAAACTTATAGTTAATCTATATTCAGAGAGCCTTTGACTGCAAAATAATACTAACTCTTGCTATTATACTCTAAATTATTATCAATGAAAAAGTCTACTATAGGGGGTGTTGACAAGTGCTCTAAATGAGTTAGAACATGTGTTGTTCTATGTTTGTTTTATGATATTGTGAGGCAGTGTGACATGGTAGACAGAGCTGGTTTTGAAGTCAAGAAGAGCTGGGTTCTGATACATCCTGCCTGTGTGTGGCCTGGAACAAGTCCCTTAGTTTCTCAGGGCTGCAGGCAATTCTGTAAGACTATAAGTCACAGAGACATTACTGACCTTCATTAAAGGTAGATTGTTCTTACATGGGAGTCCCCTATGTCAATAAAATGAAAGGTTCAGTCACTATCCCTCTTGTGATACTGGTTCTAACAGGAATTAGCTCTAAAAAAACCTTTTTGAGGGTAGTGGGGTAGTGATGTACATCTGTTTCTTTTGAAATAACATTAGGGTTTTTTTTTTAATGCTTATAGAAGTAACCATAATTTTTCTAAGAGATCAGGGTTTTAAGAGCATGCTAACATTTCTCATGATTAGCACTGTCTACTTTTGGCAGAAAGTATTGGCTCAGGCTGGAAGATTTCAGGGCGACTTTAGTTGGGAAAGTATACAAAAACCTATGTCCTTAATTTCTTAGCCCATAGAGCAAATAGCTTAGTATTCAATGGTCTTCACAGGCTGGCGGTTTGCTTCTCAGCATAATACAAAGTACACCATATTACTGTAGCAGGGGACCTGATGTGCATTCTCCACAGAAATCACAGGCAGAGGACGCTGCTGGCTCTATCCCTCTGCTCTCTTTCCTTGCTCTGGGTCACACTGGCTTTTTCTTGTAGGTCATCCAGGGTAGGAAGGAAGACCTGGAGAGATAATTGGTGGATGCCATATCTTAGAGAAAGTGAACCTCTTTTCCACTTCAGAAATGGATTATGTGGTTGCGATAGTCTCCCTTTTTTTGTAGGGAGGAGATATTGGGCATATAAACTACTAAAATTCAATTTCTTTCATCCTTAGTAACCAGATCAGAGTTCAGTAAGAAGAAGATCTCGTAGATCCTCTAACGGTTCTGTGGCCTCCTGGATGGGGACAGGACTTCTACATAGTTTATTTTCATCATCATATTTCACTTAACCCTTACTGCCTCCTTTCATTTTATATTCCAGAATAAGTTACTTGCTAGTTTATGCTCCATACTCCTCATTTCCACATCATATCTTGATTTCAGTCTGTCCATCTCTATTTCCCAGCCAGCTCTGGAACATGCACCTTCCTCATCTCTGCCTCTCAGCATCCTTGTTTTCATCCAAGGCTCAGCTTAGGTGACACCTCCTCTACATAACCTCCCTTGATTAAATGTTACTGTTACTGTTCTCTCCCTTCTCAAAGAACTTCAGATACACTCATCTGCATGTTTTTTTCATTCCATCTGAGCTTATCTGCAAAATTGAAATCATGTTTTGATATAATTGGTTTTCTTTGCAATTTTATGCATTTTATTTTATGCATTCAAAGGCATTATTCTGAGGAGTCCATCAGCTTCACTGCTAAATGACATGAAACAAGAATCCCTGATCTAGACCAACCTATGTGCAAAAAAAAAAAGTATCACTAAAGCTGAACTTTAAGAAGCCTTTTTTTTTGTAGACCACTTTGTTATTGTTACTGTTCATTCACCTTGGTCATTTATTACTTTTTATTACCCCATTTAACAAAGATACTGGATTGCTTTGCCATTTCCTTCTCAAGCTCATTTTAGAGCAGAGGAAACTGAGGCAAACAGAGTTAAATGCTTTGCCTAGGGTCAAACAGGTATTAAGTATCTAAGGATGGATTTGAACTCAGGTCTTCCTGATTCCAGGCCTGATGGTCTAACCACTGCACCATCTAGCTGCCAATAAAGACCTCTAGTGAGAAGGAATTCATCATCTCCTGAGGTAGCTTATTATGCTTTTGGATAGCCACATCTTATTGGCAATAATAACGGTAACAACAACAACAGCAGTAATAATGTATAAATATATTCTTTAAATATTTATAGGTAGAATCTATATTGTGCTTTAAGCTTTACAAAGTGCTATTAGGAATATTTCATGTTTGCCTGCTCAGCTGATTATACCTGCACAGATGAATTCTGAGTAGCAGTGGAACCATTTTCTGATCATTTTAAAGCATCACTAATTACTTAGTATTTTATAAAGTTATTCAGAAATAAAATGAGTATTACACAAATTACCTGCTTTTGAATGGCACTAAATTTGGGATTGTACAAAGAGGGCTCATTACACAGGGCATCATTGCCCAAATTTCACAAACACTATTAATGTCTAAGAATTTGATTACTGTGATCAAAGAGATTAGAAAATCGTGCTTTTAGCCCTAAAAATGTTGCCAGAAACATTATGACCACATGTATAGACCTACAAATTCTCACAAATGTACTCAAATGTGGTTTTATGAGAACACTGATGTGAGTACTCCTTCCTGGAATAGAGTCACAACCCATCCATACCTTTACCCATCCCGCAATACATATTTCTTTGTGTTTTTTGCTCATGGATGTCATTTGTGCTTCCTTGTTTGTAATGTGTTGCAACTATGAATTGTCCTCTGAGTGATACTCTGATTCATATCATAAAGACATTATTTGTCTTTAGCTAACAAAATACTAAAAGATATTATACAACAAAATGCTAAAAAAAATACTAAAGATAACAGCTTGTAAATACTAAAAGGTACGGTAACTTTCATTTAAAAAATACTACTTTTAACTGAGAAATACATGCAGAATAAGATTTCTCAAATAGGGTAAAGACATTTAATTGAGATATTTTTCATGTTATTGAATAATTTATGTTAATTAACCAGGTACCTATAAAGTCCATGACTACAGTAATATTATGGGATTGGTGGGGATAGTACTGGAAATTAAAACTCCCAAATGTTAGGCAAAGATGCCTTCACCTCCTCTCACTCCCATTGTCTGTGAGTCCTTTGTCCCTAAAGGGACTGATAACTGGTTAAACCAGTGGTTAGTTTGTAGCTATGGGCAGATGGCTCATCTGGGAACCCAGCCTGATACCAGTGAATAAATGGCTTGAGTGGGTTGAAGATAGAGCTGAAGGGGCAAACTCTATGTTCTCTGTCTTTCTGCCAGCTTGTTAACAGACCCACGACTACTAATTATACAGAGAAGGAGAATTTCCCATCTGCTGTTTAAACACACACACACACACACACACACACACACACACACACACACACTGTTTGGCTTTTTCTCTTTATTATTTTCAGTCAGATAGGGAAGACTACATTTTACTTCATTGTCCATATATACTTTAAATCTTAGGAAGCAAATTATTTCCTAATTACTCATTCCTTTCCATGTCACCTTCCCACCTTTACCCATACCAAAAACTATCAATGTTAAGGTTGCACCATGATGAGAACTTCAGTTGTTTACCAATTTAAAACATAAGGCAGCATGGTGTAGCAGGTCTGGGATCAAATCCTCTGTGGCCACTACCTAGGTGCCCCTGGATAAGTCATTTGACTTCTCTAAGCCTTATTTTCCTCATCTATAAAATGGAGAAAATAATAACATTTACCTCAAAGGGTGGATATAAGGCTCAAATAAAATAATATAGAGAAGGTGCTTTATAAATTTTAAAGTGTTGTGGATTATATTTATTATATTTATATTTATTAATTGTACTTATTATACTTATTATTATACTTAATTATAAATTATACTTATATTTATTGATATTGCACATTCTATAGGGGCAGTTACTGAGAGCAGTGCTTAGGAAAGATAAATAATAGATTTAAGGTGAGGCAGAACTCAACTAGCACACTTGAAAATAGAACCCAGCCCTCTCTTCTAAATGTTTATTAAGCTGTCTTATAAATTGGTAACTTTCATTAGAAGAGAAAAATGATTTCCATAAAATATAAGAACAATACTTGACTTGATATTTTATGTTC